ATATATAGATATATATATATATAGATTGAGAGTAGTATTTCAGTCTATGAAACCCTCTTTAAGTATATTGAAGTCGAACTCTTAAACATCCAGGTAACTTTTGGTATAATAATGGAATTTCAATAGAAATTCCAAAGTTATGTGTGTTCGTCATAGAGCACTCCTATGTTGGGCGACCTTTTGGGAAGTTTCACCAGCAGGGCAAAACCCTGAGACTACTAGGCCAATGCAGATAATACCCTGATGGGTGAGGGTTCAGGCTGTCACAAATGGTATCAGAGCATTACACTAACTAGAAGATGAGAATTAAGTGTCATACTTAACAAAGTTTTACTCCATGGGAGCCACCTCTTGAAACCTAGATGAGACAAAGTGCTATATGGTGGGACCACCTATTGAATTTGTAGGGGTCACCTTTGGATTCCTTTTTGCTTGGTGGATGGCCTTGAGTATAGAGAACTGATGAGGACGTCTGGTACTTAAGTAGGGGAGATTGTGAAAAGCCCCTTTACTTGATTGAAGGCGAACTCTTAAACATCTTGGTGCATCTTGGTGCATCTTGATATAATAGTAGAATTTTGATAAATTCTTCAAAGTTAAGCGTGCACTTCATGGAGCACTCCTCAAATGGGTTATGTCCATGGAAGTTTCACCAACGAGAAGAAACCGTGAGGGCATTAGGCTAAGCGGATAATACCTTGATGTTTTATAAAATACAGATTTATCTATAATAATAATGCAAATATTCCTGCCATATCTGTCACACAAATTCTCACATGTTTTTTCCATCCCTCGGATCATCCTTATCACTTCAATGAAGAATAAATAAATTTAAAAATTTTAAAAAAGAAATAATAAAGATTTTTCCCAATTTCTTTCTCTCTCCCATATTCTTAGCATAGGCTTCTCGTTCCATTCTGTATCACCTGTCCATCTCCCTCACCTGTGCTCCTTGCACCAAACCCCTCACATTCATGCTAACTCTGTTACATCACCTTCTTTTGAACTCCACCAGTGAAGAGCTCACATGTGTTCCGACCACCAAGATAATCGCTCAATCATATAGTTTGAAAATGTTGTGTGGGCTTAAAATTGGCTAAAATTTAAAATATTGTCTTAAAATGTATGCATACTATATATAAACTATAAAACCCACATGCTCTTATGATCGCCCTAATTATCTGAATTTGATCGTATGAGAATGTTGCGTAAGTAAAGTGAAATCAACCTAATTTGTTCTGCTCTGAAAGACATGTAATTATTCTAAAAATATTCTAATAATTTGAATTTTTCTAAAATCTACTTGTTCAAAATATGATATCAAAATATCAATTTATGCACGCTCTCGAGCGGGCTGCCTTGTCTAGAGGCCACGATTTTAAGTCTCACCAGTATCTAATCTTCCTCCTAATAGGGTCTTGAGTCGACGAGATTGAAATGCCATCCAGCCAGTCTAATTCTTCTCCGTGTAGAGATTGAAGTTGATGAGACTTACTGATAATTGAAAATTGGTCCTATATAAGACATATGGAGTGTTTCATTCATAAGCGATCATGAAATTTTTAATTAAAGAATCTATTATATAATGTTATCTTTAATAATGACATCCATTGAATTTATGCCTAACCATAATTATTATTTATTGAATTTTCACTAGCATGAGAAAGTATTTCAGGCTTTCCGCAAGTAAAAAAATTATTAAAATAGTAAAATCTTGTGTAACTCGCTTGTTTAAAAACTCTTAATCGATATTTTTTGTCTTCAATTGAATAGCTTGTGGTTTCTTTTTAAAAACTAATATATTTACTATGGTTGTATTGTATTCCTTGCATTAATAACAGAGTAAAGTGCCAAAATAGTCCCCGATTATTTTAAAATTGAGCTCTAATAGTCTTTATGAGGATTATTAGCCCTAATTTAAAGAGTCTGAGATATTTTTGGCACCTTTATAAACTCTGGGAATAAAACAGCCCCATGTAAATACTAGGGGACTATTTTAGCACTTATTATTAAAATAAGAATGGCCTAAGTATTAAATAAAAAATACTTAAACAGTTACTTCAATTTGGTTTCATTCCACAGTAGTTGCAGTAATATAAAAACAAAAGAAATCCAAGCAGATAACTTTTGTATATTATTAAAAAAAATTCTTTATATTTTGCAAGATTACTGATATGATATATGTACGTCTTCTTGCACTGTGTTAACTATTCCCGTCTTTTAGTCTATATGAGAAGAAAGTTTTGAGGTTTGTATGTCTACTTGCTATTTTTACTGAAGCTGTATATGCCATGTTTTTCGATGTTTTTATAATTTTCTCTTCCAGGTTTCTCAAAATTACTTCACTCAAATATATTCAATTACTGCAATTGAGAATTTCTATTAGTCTTTTCTTGGAGTCTGATTAGACTGGCAAGAGCAGTTATGATGATTATGACTAGTAGAATGATGATAATGACATGATAACACCTTTTTTTGCATCTTTAAAAATACTTCGTGTTCAGCATAATTGAAGGAGCATTTTTTGTCAAATTAATGAACATAATTTAACTTTGATTATTTGTCAAGAATAACGATGCTTTGCAAGCTTTCATGAATGTGCCTAGGAGTGATGTTTAATTATTTTTATATTTTGTAAAATTGTATATCTGAATTTCCAAATACACCTTGAAAATCTTGTTTAATACCTAAATTTGTTATTCATTTTCCCCCAAAATTGGTGTGAATTATCCTCTTCAAATCAGTTCTCTACAATAACACTTCAGGCACCACTACTTGGTCTTCAATGTTTGCCAGTGAGTATAGACAAAATTCTAGGGTGAAGACAAAGAAGCGCTAGGCTTAAAAAAGCATCCATAAGAATAGTAGGTCATTCAATGTTTAACTAAGTAATCGACCAAAAATATAATTTATGCCTTAAAAATTTCCATTTTTATAAGTATAGCCCTCTAAAATTTGGGTCTTGCAGGATTAAGATGGAAATTCAATCTTTTAGTCCCTTTTATCAACTTGATTTTCTTTGTGTTGGCAAACTAAAAAATAAGAGAAATGCAGTTTAGATGGGCAGAGAGCAGAGAGCACATGACGGCACCTTTAAAATTTTTATGTTTTACATTCAAAATTGGAGAAGCAAAAGTTGCTTTTAAGGCCTCGTTTAATTGCTTTAGTAATTGATGATTTATTTCTCTTTTGAAATGGTACAGGTTTGAAGTAGTGTTTGTGGACTTCCCACTCAACATTCTCAAATTTATACAATATATAATGATAGGTATCTTTTTTTGAGTCGTATACATATTGACACTCTGTATCATGATAGGTTGATGAGCATGAAGCTAATGTTGGATTCTGAACGTCAATTTAGGTTCATGGCATGGCTCCTAATAGATTAAGAAAAAATTGATATTCTAGCATGAGAAGTAAACCATGAATCTAAAATTTGGAAAAATAAATCACCAGATATGTATAAAAAAGAAGTTTACTTTTTAAAAATGCAAGAAAAATTCACCATCATGACATGGCCATTGATAGAGTAGGGAGAAATTTAGAGTTTTACCAAATTAAAACAACTAATCTAAATTTTGGATATGGACTAATAAGTAGTTTTACTAATGAATTTCCTTTTTAAAAGTGAGAAAAAAAGATGCGCCGTCATGAACATGAATTTTTTAGAAAGATTGATGATGTGCTTTTGGATTCTGGAAGATTTTTTCAAGGTTTTGAACCAAGACTATATGTCCAAATATCCCAGAGGTTTGATAGCCTGATGTCCACATCAATATGAATTCATGCAAGTCAACATAGATCAATATAAACTCACCTTAACTCACCAAACTCATGGTGAAATCACCGAATTTATGTTGAACTCGTCAAACTCTTGATGAACTTCTAGATTTGTGGAGAATTTGCCTAGCCTAAGACAAATTTGCCAAAGCTCAAGTCTATTTGCCCCACAGGTTAGTCATATCTGCTTAAGCATAGGTAGGGTTTATTCAATGGCTTCCTCATGGGAGGTTGGCAAGTTCTTAACAAGATGACTTAAAGTCTGACTACTCAATT